AACTATACAGACTATGCTCACTGATTAAAAATCAATTTTCTTTATTAAATGTTGAAAAAGTTAATCATGACAAGATATATCTCTAAAGATAAAACTGAAATCTCTCATAGACTTGCAAATAAATGAACTATCTAAAGAGAGAGAATATGAACAGTATTTAAAGAAGATCTCTATAATTAATATAAAAGACTCTATTCTGATTTACTCAAATAACTTAAAAAATAAGAATCTGAATAGATTAGATACAGACATTACTTATACTGAAGAGAATATTAATTTTATCTCAGATTTCTGAAATTTAGACTGTGAATCTGAAGTCTTTGATACTGAACTATTTATAATAGTGAAAGCTTTCAAACTTATTGAAATAAAAACTTATAAAAGAGAAAATGATTTGAAAGAGCTATGAATATTCTCTAATAGTCAAGCTGCTTTAAAAAGACTTAGAAATAGTCAGATTCATAGTAGTCAAATAAATCTTAAACTGATTTTAAATTCTGTTTTGAAAATTCAAAAGAGAAGAATATTAAACTGATAATTCATCTACTCTGAGTTCCTGCTTCTATAAATATTAATAACAATGAATTGACTGATTCAGCTGTAAAAAAAAGTTCAGAATTAAATAGATTTATTCAAAAAACAGTATTCTGATCTTTTATAAAGAGAAAGATAAAAGAATCTTATTTAGATAAATGAAATGAAAGCTGACAGAAATAAAAGAAGAGTATACATTATTCAAGATTTGAAATAAAACTCAAGTGAAAATCTTGTTTAATTAAATGTAAAAAGAAAATATTCTCATGTATAATTCAGCTGAAACTAGAACATGATTATTTCAAATCTTATATATAAATATTTAATGATAGATTTGATTCAATAGAATGCTTATTCTGCAATACAAATGAAAATTCTGAGTATATTGTAATACACTGTGTATTATACAATAATCTCAGAGTCAGATTGAAAGAGAAGTATGATTTATAATAATTAAATATAAGATTCTTATTCTCAACTGAGACAGAAATTAAATACTTAATAGACTTTCTATCAGAAACTCAAGCAGCTATAAGAAAATGACTGAATTCAGAAATATCTGAATATAGACTGGCTGCTGAGATTAGACTGACCGCCGGAACTATGAATTTCACATTTGATTTCATTTGATCTGATCTCATACAGTTCTTGATGTGAGTCTCACCAGAATCAAGTCTTAAAAAAAATCTGAAAATGAATCATTTCTGAGAGAAATGATATGAAAAATGATCAGATTTAATTCAAGAACAGTGAAATAAGAGTAATTTCTCAGAATAAACTGTGAAAGATGATCATTCTTTCAAAATCAGAATGAGACTGAGACTGAAAATTAAATTCAGTCTTATTCAGTTCATTCAGTGATTACTTATATAATCAGAATTTGATAACAATTATTGATAATACTCATGAAATAACTAAATACATTCTTGTGTAAGTTTATTCTTCACTTTCTTATAAAAACTACACTTCTCTGATATACTGTGATCAGAGATATTAAACTATCTGATAATTTCATATTTTATAATTATGAGTTTCTTGATTATTTCTCCTTATAATTATCCTCAGTAATAGTAATAAATATCTCAGCTTGAGTTAAACTTTCACTTCATTCTCACCTCTGTTAATGAAATTATCAGAATATCACATATCATCAGTGTAACAGTTGAATATATACTCTCAATAATTTTTCATAACTCTAGAATTAATTTGATGTGTAAATTTATTGAATTATCTTGAAGATAGCAGTTAAATTCAGTTTTATAAGCATGTAGCTTTATCTGATTTTCAGTTATAATCAATGTATGTAAGTTCTGTTTCAAAGTTAGTATTATAGTTCTATGTAATATGAAGTATTACTAAAGATTGTTACTTACTACAGAATTGTATTTCACTATCTTCACATCTCTAACATCTGCTTATTCAAATCTCTGATAGTTAGTATTGTAGTAGTCTCAGGCTAATTTAACATATGAGTCTTATTTCTTCTCTATTCAATCTTGAGAAGTGTAAATGTTAACTTGATAAGAGAAATCTAGTAGAGCTGCTACAGTATAGTACTCTGTAAAAGATTGTTCAGTTTTACTGTAGTAATATATCAGTTTATTTCTTATAGTAATAATAGCCTGTACTATAGCATTATCTCAGACTGAATTTCTTTTTAAGTGATTCAACTGCTTCTTAAGATGAGTAAATGAACTATTATACTCTCATCAGACTGACTGCAGCATTGATATATAAGTGATTAAAACTGTCTTTATTATCTTATAAAACTGAAAGAGTAAATAAATCACATATTTCAACTGAGTTCACTTCATATCAGAAAGTTTCAATATCTGAATCTTTTTCTAATCAGAGTATTACACTCAATGATCAATTATCTGATATAATTGAAGAGTCTGAATAGTTATCTAATATATTGAACTTCACTATATTCTAATATTCTGTATCATATTCAGTGATATGACTGATTTGTTTATTTATTAAATATCATGAAATTATTATTATTATTTAGAGAAGATACAAATTATATTAGTAATGTTTCAAATCTGTGATATTTAAATTATTAGTCAGTCTATTCAAAATTAACAGTAGTATTATCAAAGAGTATTATTGAAAAGCAATATTAAAAAGTGTTATTAAAAAATATTATCTTTTATAAAGTAAATATAAAAGTTACTTGAGTAATTACTTTCATCTCATTCTCATCTTAAGAATCAGTCATCTCATTATTCTTCATCTCAATATTAAGATTCTTTATCAGTGTTTATATTACAAGTTGAATCACATGAGCACTGCAGAGAATATGATCTTATTTATTATTTCAGAAATGCAAAGTCAATTTTTGCTTCAAGCTCTTCATTATAGTGTAGTTATTCACAGTATTATTAGTTGTACTTGTAAGAAGACTGATACTAATATCTCAATAGTTATTTTTAATCACAGTTATTAATATCTCTACTATATAATTCTCAGTATGACTACTGATTAATGATTTAAATTGAATTAATATCTCTTAATAAGTTCAGTTCTTATTAATATAATAACATATAACTCTTATAAATGTAAGATTATTTATACTAGTTTATTCATTCACTGTGAGAGACACTCTTTGATGATTCTTTCATTCTGATTCTAGATATTATATATTGACTTTGTAGTGTGTCTCAAGGTTGAACTGAAGACAGAATTGATGTGAAATATGAAGATTTGAATTAAGCATTTGAAGAAGTGTTTGAAATTCAGAATTTTCAATTAATCAAAGAGAAAGATTCAGAGATATACACATGTGAAGTAATTATTCACAGAAGTTATCAGATAAGAGTTGTGAAATCAGAGTACTAATATATGATTATTTTCACATGATTTTCTTTAAATTAAAAAGTTACTATTATCAACAATTGTTATCTGATAGAGTAACTTATCAGCTCAGTAGTAAATTTCTGATTATTTTTCTTTTATTATCTGCATTCTAATAACTTCAGATGTTGAGAAATTTCTTCAGAATCATAATCAGTTTATAATGAATGTTTCTCAATGAAGTTATAGTGATTGTAGCAGAGAGATAACTCTTCAGTAATCTGTAATAAAACCTGTTAATAATTATTTCATAGTTCATCTCAGTGTTTGTGTTAAGTTTTTCATAAATTCTGTAATCTGGAATCAGATGTGAAGAATGAAGTGATTATTTATCATGATTGAAAGAGAGTATTCTATGTTAAATTATATATAATATAGACTTTGTGATTCACAGTGATTTCTTGAAGAGTTTATAAATCTTCAATAGAAGTAAAAGAAGTGAAAGAAGTGAATTCAGAAGATATAATAATAATTTAAGAAAGATAATAATTTATTTTTAATAACTGATCACTGATGTATATAAGAAGAATTAATATAAGAGAAAATAATCTTCTTTCTTAGCTTAGTTATAATTTTAGTATTAACTCAGATTGAATATCATCAATGTATAAAAGTAAATAAATAATCTTAATTAATCTCTGTTATATTTCTTGAAATATATTAATATTGTGAAAGAGAGTATTATCAAATTACATTATCAGATAATATTATTAAAAATATATTAATATTATAAATATCAGTGTTAAAAAAATGTTGATACTTATACATTATAGTGACATGATAGTTAAATATATATATATTATTTCTAATATTGATAATTGATTACAACTTGTACAATAATTTTTGAAAACTCAAAATTAATTTCAATTATTAACTAATAGTTACAAACTTATAACTAACTAATATAAAAAGAAAAAAACTTTTTCTACTTATTATCTTTCTTCTCTTTCTCATTCTTCTTATCATTCTTTATAATTTACTTCTTATTCTCATTCTTCTTCTTCTTCTTCTTATCTGAAATAATAATCATCTTAAAATCTCTCTCTGCTGCTTTTTCAGAGAAGAGTTTCTACTGCTCTCTCTCAGTCAGATTAATCTGCATCTCAAAATCCTGCATTTCCTGAACTGCTGTCTCAGATTTCATCTCAGTGATCAGTAGATTGACATACTCAGAGAGCAGAGCTGTCTTCTCAATATTCTGAATTATGAAGTGCATTTGAGATCTGAATAAGACCTTAATTTCCTTCATCTCTGTCAGCTTCTGCTAATCAACTAGAGAACAGAAGTGTTATCAAAAATCATTATCTTTTAATAAAAAACTTATCAGTTTTGACTTCTTCATCTCTTACTTTAATATCTTCTCAATCTTCTTCTACTATTATTTATTTATAGTAATACTCTTCTTCTTTCTCTCTCTCTTCATCTTAATCTCAAATTATTCTCAGAACTTCTTCTAATCTCATCACTACTGTATAAGACTCTTCACTGTCTTCTTTTTCAATCTCTCACAGATGATTTTATTCACATTATTTCTATACTTAGTTCAGTCTAAATCTATCAGAAGTGTTACTTAATATCATTATTATTCTACTCTCTTACAGAGCCTCTTCAAGGCATTATAATATATCTTATAATCTGTCTTTTCATACTTGAACATCTTCTTCTTCTCTCTCTTCAATCTGTGACAGTGCTCATGTGCCTTGATGATTCACAGAACTGCAGAATATTTGAAGAGAAATGATATAATTAATTTCAGTGAGTATTGAAGAGAGATGAGAACAGAAGAGACAGTCAGAAATGATATAATAATAATAATAATAATAATAATAATGATAGTGATAATGATAATGATGATAATAGTGATGATAATAATGATGATGATAATAATAATGATAATGATGATAATAATGAAAGAAGAAGTGTATTGAAATATATTACTGACTTATCAAATATAAAGAGATTTAAAGAAAATATTAACAGCTTTCAGAGATGTACAGAAACAGTTACAGTATTACATAGTAATATTATCTTCATTCAATGCATGCACTGTTGATATTCTTTGTATGCAGTTATTATATAATCTATATCAGAGATACATGCAGAAAACAGATCTTTGTTACTAGAAAGAATAATTGCAGTGATTCTCTGTTTTCATATTATAAAGATAAGTTATTCTTATTTCTTTCTTCTCTCTTTTCTCTTCTTCATCAACTCATCACTAAGTTCAAGCTGATATGAAAACTATTAAAACACTCTTAGAAACTCTTAAATTGAAGAGTATAGACTAATCAAATTTTAAATACAGAAGAATTAAATTATATTTAATATTACTAATTATTTATTCTCTTCTAATAAAACAATAGTTATGTCTTCTTTCTCTCTCTTCTCAAATAAAACATAGTCTGTGAAAAGTGAGTATTATATCAGATTATAATGATCAATACAGTCTCAGCACACAGAGCTATATACATACAGTGTGTGCTGAACTGAGAGACTGTATGAGTTGTAAATCAGTGACAGTATCTCTGAGAGAGCTGTGCAGTGTAAGAAAGTTACAATTCTCAGTTATATATATAGAGAGTGAATTATCACAGTAAGTGTATGTATATTATATAAAAGTAACACTTTTTAATAATACTCAGTCTCTGATATTATGAAAATAGAGTCTCTCTGTGAGATCTGTTTTTATCAGAAGTCAGAGAATCTTATATTTCTTAAGATTATCTTCACACACCTTGTCTGTGAAATCAATGAGAGAAATCATCAATTTCAGTATTCTATTCTTAATGTTATTCAAGTGATAGCAGAGTTCATTCTGATCACACTTTTTAAGTGTATATTTTCTAATTATTCACATTTATACAGATATAAACTGATTATTTATTAAATAATATTAAGATAATAACTCATTACAGCTGTGTTACTCTTACTGTGAGAGATACACAGTTGATAATAAACATTGTGAAGACTCTGAAGAGTAAGTATTTTAGAGATACTATGACTCTATGATCTTGATTTCTTTTGTTTTTATTTTTTATTTTTTTCTTTTTCTTTTATTTTTTTTTTCTCTTCTTTTTTTTTTCATTGTGATTTTTTCTTGTTTTTATTTTGTTTTTTATTTTTTATTTTTTTTTATATTTTATATTTTTTTTATAATTAAAATTATATGAATTATAATCTGTGTTTAGAAAAGTAATAATATTTGATAATACTTACTATTGAATTTTCAACAAATGAGCACTATGTTATAATATTATATAAGTGAGAAATGATTTTATAGTCTTATTTAATGCTATTCTCAATAATGAGATCAGAATGAAAATATGACTAAGAATTTAAACATATTCTTTATCTAAGACTAGATTTTTATTTGAAAAGTGAATCTGAGATCTTTAATATTTAAAATAATGTGATTTGAAATCAATGTAATGAACACAAATCATAATCAGAAGTAATGCTTTTAAATAACATAATAACTGTAAAGTTTAATTCTGGTCTCAGATATGATCACACGGTCAGTCTAACTGAGATTATGAATTTCACATTTGATCTCATTTAATCTGATTTCATACATTTCTTAGTGTGAATTCTACTGGGACTAATCATTAAAAAAACATGCAAAGTGACTATATATCAGATCTCAAAATAAAATCATGACTTAGAAAAAATAAGAAAGTGATTTCATTTAGTTTCATTTAGTCTCATTCTTGGCATAAAGTTACTATTTTTAGACATTTTAAGGTTTTTTTTAGACTATTTTTAATTTTTTAAAAAGTAACACTTTTTAGTAACACTCAAATGAGATTTAAAGTCATTTAAAGCAATAAAAATAATTTAAATTGAGAAGTAAAAATCATGATCTCATTTGAAAAATGTAATAAGAGTAGATAATAAGTCTCACTGAGACAGTATAAAACTACTATCTAATGTTAAAACTGTGTAATGAGATCAGTTAAATTGATAATAAGATTATTAAATATTCTGATTCTGGTCTCAGACACGGTCACACGGTCAGTCTATCTGAATATGAAGAGATGAAAATTAATCAGATATAGTCTGTTAAAACAGTTATACACTATCTTTTAATAATTTTATTTTCTTATAGTCTCTCTTCACTTTACTTTTTTCTTTTCTGTTCTTTTCTATCTACTTATTTAATGTGTCTATCTTTAAGAGGTTGTTCTTGTTTCTTTTGTCATGATATTTTTAAATGGTTTCAAAGTATCAGAAGGTGTTAAAATACTGCAATTTATAAAGAGTTTTTATATTCTGAGCTGGAATTTTCTGATTATGTATATCTGAAATTGATAAATGTATAATAGTTAACTCTATAGATATTAGATCAACTCTGAGAACTTTCAGTTCTCAGATAGATGTTATAGTCTCTGACTACATACATCTATAATTGAAGAATAATAACAATAATAATAAATTAATTAGTAAGAAGTAAAAAATCAGTAGAAGAAAGAAATCTATTATAAGACTAAAATAATGCTTAAAATATATTGAATTGTCTGCAATCTTGCATTTTTAGTCAATATTTTAAAGATAGAGTCACTTGATTATATTCTTATAATACTGACAGCATCATAGCATTCAGTTAATTTCAATAGATACTTTTAGAATCTCAATAACAAGATTATGAATAATTTGAGATATATAAGAGAAACTGCAATCTGTTAATTAATTAATATGAAAAAGAAGCTATTGTTCTTACAAATCTGTGAGATTTTTACAGTGAATAGAGCTTGCTTTCTTTCTTGATATTTGTCACGCTCCCGGCCGCGCCAAGGCCTCATTGCGGTTCCACACGGCTCATTGCTTTCATGCGAATGATTTCATTCTGTCTGAACCAGTTTTCAACCACTCTATGACATCATTCAGATATATTATAGAAAGATTCAATTGATGAATATAAGAATCTCACTTCTATACAAGATCAGCAGATTACTCTTTCTTAACAGTGATACACTGCTGAGGTATTACTCTGACTATTCTCACTTATGAAATGAAAGAAGAGTATTCACTTATTATCTATATAGAACAACTAGATACTGACTTCTCATTAAAAAAGTCAGTGATTTGTTTTTCTTCTACTGAAATATATATAAGAGTTACTGTGTTTCTTATACAATCTTCTTAGTATACTAAATATTATATCTGTGATATTCTTACAATAACTCTGTAGTCTATAAGCTGACTATTTAAGTAAGATAGTTAAGCTTACTTATACAGCTTCTTAAATAACTATCTCTATATAATATCACTGACTAGTCACTGCTTCAGTTCTATTATATTACAATTCAAATCACTTAATTTAATTATAAGTTTGAATCAGTTAAGCTCTAACAGACTGATATAATCTCATACACTTATACTAAGACTGACTTAATCTCACTCTCTGAAAAAAACTCTATATTATTCTCTAGAGTATGTACATCTCTACTTTAATAGAAATTCAAGATTTTTGAACCTGCTGTACATTTTAATATGAACTCTTCAATTACTCTGTTACTGTCACAGTCTCTACACATCTATATCTATTATAAAGATAGAGAGATTAAGATCAGAGATTCTCTGAAATATAAGAGAAATATATTATCTAAATTTCACAGCTTTATCTGTACTCTTGAACAGAAATTCTGCCTTAATCTGAGCTAGTATAATACTCATGAGATATAAGTAATATATATTATCAATCTTCTTGAAGACATCTCTGTGACTACTTGAGCTATTAAGAAGAGAGAGCTTGAGTATACTACTACTATAATATCTTAAGAAGAATTTAAGAACTTTCTACTGAATTAAATTAAAGATTACTATAATTACAGCTTCACAGTAATATAGTAGTTTAACTCATTATATTAATAAGATAATGAGAATTCTTTTAATTTTAATATAAGATTTAAAGAATATTGAGAGAAATTAATCAATAATTTAAATCAATTAAAAATATAGCTTGATCTTATAAAGCTGACTCACAAGATATAGATAATAATATCACAGTATCAGAGTTTATTAATTAATTATACTAAGCTTATTAATCTGACTTTCTGAATCTATTTAAATAATCAATTCTCTGAGAAAAAGATTAATAAGACTTCTTCTAAGTAATTAATAACAGAATCTAAACAGTGCTGTGATAGCTCTAGTGTGAAAAAAGTAAAGAAGAATTTCAAGTATTCTGATTCTTCACTCACTGTAAAGAAATATTAAAAAGAATTTAACAAAGATCTCTATTTTAACTGT